TTTTATGAGAGTATAACATTATAACATGATATAAAACTCAAAAAAGTTGATTTTACATGATATTGCCCCTTTAAAATACTTAGCGTTTCAACAGAAATGTATCAAAGTGTTGTAAGTTAAACTCTAAAATATAGGCCCTAAAACATGAAAAGCCAAACCAATAACATTAAAATAAAAAATAGAAAAGATGCAGTATTTTAAACGTAAAATTTTGCACAAATGTTCTAAGTACTAAAATACTTCAAATAATAAATGTTCTAAAAGATCTGTTCCTCAGTTAAGCTGAAATGTCCTCTTTTTAAGGGTCATGGCAGTGCAGAACTACCTTCAGGGTCATAATGTGGAGAAGCTGGCAGAGTGTTACTACATGTTGGAGGACTACGACGGCCTCGAGAGGCTGACTGCAGATCTGACTGAGAATCATACTCTGTTACAGGTGAGTCAACTTATCAGCTGTAAGTTTTTTTCTTTTCTTTTTTGTCTTCACATACATCTGAATTATTTTATTTTATCATTCTACCATTTCCTCTCTATTGTCCATGTTGTAGGATATTGGGCAGATGTTTACCAATGTGGGGATGTGTGAACAGGCTGTGAATGCCTACTTGAAGTGCAGCCAGCCAAAAGCTGCCGTGGACACGTGTGTCCATCTAAACCAGGTGAGAGACGGGCAGAAAACTTCTGGCGCCAGAGATTCTGAGTTATTCTGAGAGAGCAGCAGTCAGCCTGGCACCTGCTGTCGTCCCACCATCCTGCTGATGGATGGTTAGCTCTGAAGTGTGAAAAGGAAATTTAATATTTTACTGTAAAATAATGGCATTTTTAAAGTAAACTAAACTGAAGTGAGCCTCTGCGATTCTATGTGGGACCATAGCTGGCTTTAGTGTAAAATCTATTGTATTGTCTGTTTGCAAATGTTTTAAAACTAAGCAGACTTTATGTTTTTTTCTTCTGATTGTAATGTTAAATTAATGTGCTTATTTTCTTATTATTAACTGTTTTTTTTGTCAGTGGAACAAAGCTGTGGAACTAGCAAGGACTCACAACATGAAGGAGATTAAATCTCTTCTTTCCAAATATGCCTCATATCTTCTGGAGAACAATAAAACTTTGGAGGCGGTAGAACTCTATCGAAAAGCCCACCACTTCCTCGATGCAGCTAAACTCATGTTTAAGGTGAGTTTAGTGTTTTTATATACTTTAATTAAAGTTATTTTTTTACAAAGTAATGCAACAAGAATATCAGCTGAAACAGTTAAGTTGCTTCTCAAAATGATACAGCGGGTAAAATAAGWATTGAACACGTCACCATTTTTCTCAGTAAATATATTACTAGAGGTGCTAATGACATGAAATTTTCACCAGATGTRGGTAACAACCCAAGTGATCCATACATACAAAGAAATCAAACCATAAATATCCAGAAATGAAGTTATTTGTAATAATGTGGAATGGCACAGGGAAAAAGTATTGAACACACTTACTGAAATTTATCTAATACTTTGTACAAAAGCCTTTGTTGTCAATGACAGCTTCAAGACGCCTCCTGTATGGAGAAACTAGTGGCATGCATTGCTCAGGTGTGATTTTGGCCCATTCTTCCACAAACAGTCTTCAAATCTTGAAGGTTTCGTGGACCTCTTCTATGAACTCTGATCTTTAGTTCTTTCCATAGATTTTCTGTTGGATTCAGGTCAGGTGATTGGCTGGGCCATTCCAGCAGCTTTAGTTTCTTTCTCTGAAACCATCTGAGAGTTTCCTTGYCTTTGTGTTTGGGCTCATTGTCTTGTTGAAATGTCCAGCCACGTTTCATCTTCATCATCCTGGTAGATGGAAGCAGATTTTTATCAAGAATGTCTCTGTACATTTTTCCATTTATCCTTCCTTCATTTATTTGAAGTCACCTCCAAACTTCACTGTTGGTATGGTGTTTTTGGGCTGATGTGCAGTGCCATTTGACCTCCAAACATGATGTGTATTCTGGCATCCAAACAGTTCAATGTTGGTCTCATCTGACCAGACTATATTCTCCCAGTATTTCACAGGCTTGTCTAAATGTTGTGCAGCAAACTTTAAAGGAGCTTCAACATGCTGTTTCTTCATCAGTGGAGTCTTGCGTGGTGAGCGTGCATACAGGCCATGATGGTTCAGTGCATTACTTATTGTTTTCTTTGAAACAATCGTACCTGCTAATTCCAGGTCTTTCTGAAGCTCTCCACAAGTGGTCCTTGGCTCTTGGACAACTCTTCTGATAATTCTTTTCACTCCTCTGTCAGAAATCTTGTGAGGAGCACCTGGTCGTGGTTGGTTTATGGTGAAATAATGTTCTTTCCACTTCTGAATTATGGCCCCAACAGTGCTCACTGGAACCTTCAGAAGTTTAAACATTCTTCTGTAACCGATGCCATCATTATGCTTTGCAACAATAAGGTTGTGAAGGTCTTGAGAGAGCTCTTTACTTTTACCCATCATCAGATGGTTCTTGTGTGATACCTGGCCATCATTTGGGACTGAACCAGCTGATATTAACTTGCACTGACAAGGGGCAGGCTTGCTTTCTAATTACTGAGAGAGTTCAGCTGGTGTCTTGGCTTTCCATGCCTTTTTACACCTCCCTTTCTTCATGTGTTCAATACTTTTTCCCTGTGCCATTCCACATTATTACAAATAACTTCATTTCTGGACATTTATGGTTTGATTTCTTTGTATGTWTGGATCACTTGGGTTGTTACCAACATCTGGTGAACATTTCATGTCATTAGCACCTCTAGTAATATATTTACTGAGAAAAATGGTGACGTGTTTAATACTTGTTTTACCCGCTGTATATTCTGCTTTAAAAGTATTCAGTTTCTATTTTTATTGTTTTCTAGATTGAATTTTTAAAATATTTTTTCCTCTTTTTATTTTACGACAGTTGCAAACATTAAAATTATTATTTTTATTATTTTTTTTTGCCTGTAATAAACTGTATTCTTATAGATTTCGAAAGTTATTCACAGGGAAATTTTCATGTTTTCCTTCACCAAATCAAATATCTGTTGGACAAAAAATGTTCTTTGAAAAGTATTCTGAGCAGAGTTCACACTGCCTCTGTTTACTCTAAAGAAGATTTATGAGTTTGTGGCTCCTGAACMTTGGCTTCACAGTTCGACTGTGTGTTTTGGCGTGACCACCAGTTCTTCTAAAACAAAATTTATTTTGGATCTTTAAAGGGGTCTATAGTAGTTCAGTGATCCCTGCTGCAGTCTGGTTAAACCGAGGCTGCAGGCTGCGTCAGGAAGAGCATCTTGCTTGAAACAGTTGCCAAATATTTTATCATTGCTGATTTATTTTTTTTTACGTATCTTGTACATTTAAAATAAGACAGAATTTCAGCTACTTGTGTAAAATTTGGAGTTGTTCTARGTTTATGTTTACAGATTGCAGAAGACGAGGCAAAGAAAAGAAGCCGACCTTTGAGGGTGAAGAAGCTTTATGTTCTGGCAGCACAGCTTGTTGAAAGCTACCATGAGCAGGTGAAGACGTCGCAGCAGAGCAAAGCCAAAGGAAACGAGTCAAAGGTAAATCACTGCCTACAGTTTAGTGTACACTCTGAGTTTAGACACTGTTCTGTGTTTATTCAAAAAAGCTTTCATCACATTAGGGGCTGTGAAACAAACAATCATAAAATAACTGAAGTGTTTTTAATGAAATTGTGCAACACTTTTTGTATTGTTTTTGTGCAATTAGACAGCATTCGCACTCGCTGGCCTTCTGGAAGAAGATGCCATCTCTTCAGACAATCGTCTTATAGACAACGCCTGGCGAGGAGCTGAAGCGTATCACTTCTTCCTGCTTGCTCAAAGGCAGCTGTACGCAGGCCACACAGAGAATGCGATGCGCACCGGTACGATGACATAATCACCTACACAGGGTAGTTTTTACAGGAACTGGTAATAGTTAATGCACTACAGCATATCTGAAATTAATTTACTTTAATTTTAAGTGTGAAAGGCAGGTGCAATATTTTTCATTATCTCTTACTTTCTTCTTAACTGCAGGTTTTAAGTACTCTCTTACAAAGTGGGTTACTTGTTAAAAAATATTTTTCTAATATCTATGTTAGATGTGGCACTTGCTTTAGTTATAACAAAATTAGGAAACAAATTCAGAACACAGGGTATGTGCACCAACTTTGGTTTTATTTTAGATATCTGTTGCCATCTAGTGGTGGATAACTGTTTTACTGAAATTGTTTTGCCATTAAAATTCGTGGGTAAAAAACTCTTTTTTTGACACGAGTCATCTGATTACACTTTTTATTGAGATTGTTTTCTGTGAATTATATGGATTGGATTTTAGTCCAAACTAGGAAAACTATGATGTGATGCTGAGGTCCTTTTTTTAATCTTTCGTCAAACCATTTAGTTTAAGTTGAACATCAGTCTGCTGTAAAACTGCCGAGTGGAAATGAATTAGTTTCCAAAGCTTGAGTTTAAYTCTGACTCTACTTTGTGTCGTCCATCATCTAGCCCTCCACCTGCGTGAATTTGAAGACATCATCCCTGCCGTGGAGATCTACTCCCTGCTTGCCCTCTGCTCTGCAGTCAGCCGGGCCTTCAGCACTTGCTCGAAGGCCTTCATCAAGCTGGAGTCCCTGGAGAGTCTGAGCCCCGAGCAGCAGCAGCTCTACGAAGATCTGGCTCTGGAGATCTTCACTAAATACCCCCCAAAAGACAGCTTCATGATAGAGGCGGATATCTCAACAGAGGGGTGAGAATCAACGCAGAGTCGTATCACACAGTCAGCTCAACCCTAAATATGAGATTATGGACTGAAACTGATAATTTAATCAGAATAARGTCTTTTTATGTGTCTTACACACTTCTTTCATTCAATTAAAAGATGACAAAAACTCAGAAAGCAATAAACGGGTGGAGCTCTTGATCTGTCTTACAGTATTCCAAACTATTTCTTGAAATTCTTTTAACCAGTTCTGCTTTCCTGTTTCCTTTCAGGTCCGAGGGAAAAGTTCCCACATGCATCGTGACGGGTCTGCCTATCCAGGAGTACCAGTTTTGGATGTGCAGCGTGTGCAAACGCTGTGCTCTGGAGCAGAAGATTAGTAAATACCGCTACTGCCCGCTGTGCCACAGTCCTTCAGCYTAATCTACAAAGTTTCACATGAAGATTTTAGTTCAAAAAAAGGAAACTTTCAAACTTGTTCTTTGTTTCAGACAATTAACGCTGACGCCATAAGTTGGTCAGTTGTAACATCTGACTTTTCATTTTCAAATGCAAATTGTGAAGAACGTACATGTTTTAATCATCTATAAATGGTTTAGACTATTAACAGACAGATGTGAGTTTATTGTATTAAAATCTGGTTTGTCTAATTCAAACCGTCTCTGAGTAACAGAATCAAATGCAAAAAGTGTTGCAACTGTCCCAAGCTGTAAACTTTTTAACCGTTGCGGAATGGTTTACCTCGCTGAGAATTCATCACTTACAGCGGGTAAAATAAGTATTGAACATGTCACCATTTTCCTCAGTAAATATCTTACTAGAGGTGCTAATAACATGAAATTTTCACCAGATGTCGGTAACAACCCAAGTGATCCATACATACAAAGAAATCAAACCATAAATGTCCAGAAATGAAGTTACAGTGGTTTGCAAAAGTATTCATAC